TTTTTTTTTTTTTTCGCAAAAATGCATTTTTAGACCTGTTGGTAACGCCATAGCAATTTTCAGTCTCAAGGTTCCAACTTGTCGGTCCTATAATTTAAAACTTTGTTGCAATAAAATTTTAAATTATGCTAATAAAAAATCCAACCCATAGATATAAATTGGGAATTTGTTGCAATTTTAGTAATTTGCAGCAAAATATCAAAAATATTAAATTACATGACTAAAAGGCAAAATGTAAGAATCTTGTTGCTACGGCGTAAAACCAACAACACTAAAAATGAAAGTTAGCCTTTTTTTTTTACAAATATGGAGACATTATTCTTAGGGTGGTCATGAGTTGTGATTTGTCCAGGTTCGTGCTCCTTGTCTGGGGGATAAATTCTCGAGCATGCACGGGCAAAAGGGTGTTTTGGGGTTTTTGGAGTCTCAGGAGAACTTCCCTTTCACCAAACAGGGAATTGTTCCGGATATCGTTATAAATCCTCATGCATTTCCTTCTAGACAAACGCCAGGCCAACTTTTGGAGGCTGCTCTAGCCAAAGGCATTGCACTTGGAGGTGCTCTCAAATTCGCCACCCCATTTTCCACTCCTTCTGTTGAAGACATAACAGCTCAGCTTCACAGGTACATGCCTTCCGAAAGTTGGATTCAAATTTGATTTTTAACATTTGTGAGGACTCGTTTAGGTGGAATCAGATGGAAAATGAATGCAAATGTAAAAAAAAAAAAAAAAAAAAAGTTATCTGTTTGGTTTGAATGAAAGATTATGAAACCCGTGTCACAGTTCAATCTCCTTTGCTCCTTAAGTTAGGACATAGGTAGATACAGTAGAATTTATCTTTTAACTATAGTTAGGACATACGAAACATTAAGCCTTTCCTCCCTTTCCTCCTTTATTCATTTCATCAAACCGGGAAGTAACTGGTACTCCATACAAAAACAACTTAAATACGGTCCAAGATTCACTACCTTTGCCTGTCCCTTCCATTTCCATTCCTTTCACATGAAAGTTCAAACCAAACAAGCTCTCAAGTCTTAAGTAACAAAAGTAATTGTTTGCGAAAAAGAAACAAAAAAAATATAGCTTTTTTAGGCTATGTTTGGTAGAACTAGCTGATTATAAGTGAATTTCGAGCTTATTGCTGATAAACTAATGGCTCAAGGCTAAAAAACTAGCTGATATGATGACACTGCAAATTGTTTGGTAAAATTAGCTACGATAAGCCAGCTGAAATAAATATTTCAACTTATCTCAGCTCGAGCTTTTTTAAATGGAATTTATCTTTTAACTATAATTAGATTGAATGGTTATTTTTACCATGGCTAGAAAATTGGATGTCAAACCCGGAAGTAACCGGTACTCCATACAAAAACAACTTAAATACGTTCAAGATTCACTCCCTATCCCACTGTCCCTTCCATTCCCCTTCCTTCCACATGAAAGTTCAAACCAAAACATGCTCTTATGTCTTAAAGTTCAAATTCACAAATGGCGTATCGACACGTCTGAAAATAAACGCATTATTTCTGTTTTTCTTCAATACAAAAATCCATTTTCTAACACATGATTACTAAAATGAATGCCCGGAAANAGGTTGGGATTCTCGAGATGGGGAGACGAGCGTGTGTACGATGGGCGTACGGGCGAGCCCGTCCAATCCCTAATCTTCATGGGGCCCACATTCTACCAGCGGCTGGCCCACATGGCAGAGGACAAGGTGAAGTTCCGAAACACGGGGCCCGTCCACCCGCTCACCCGCCAGCCCGTGGCTGACCGGAAAAGGTTCGGAGGCATAAAATTTGGCGAGATGGAGCGAGACTGCCTCATAGCACACGGGGCAGCTGCGAATCTGCACGAGCGCCTCTTTACGCTCAGCGACTCCTCACAAATGCACGTCTGCCGAAAGTGCAGCAATGTGGCTGGCGTGGTACAGAGGACGGTGCTCGGTGGAAGGAAGTTGCGTGGGCCCTACTGCAGGTTCTGTGAGTCGGTGGAGGATGTGGTGCGGGTTAGCGTGCCGTATGGGGCTAAGTTGCTGAGCCAGGAGCTTTTCAGCATGGGGATATCTCTCAAGTTTGATACTGAGTTGTGTTAAGATAGATTTGTGGGATGTTGTTTTGGCCTCTCTCTCTCTCTCTCTCTCCCTCTCTCTCCCCCTCTCTCTCTCTGTGTGAATGTAATGTGATGGATGGATTAAGGATGTGTATATGTGGGAATGCAAGGTGGGATGTTTATATTTGGTCTCAGGTATAATATAGAAAGCCTACTAAAAAAGTTAGTTAAATGAAACGAGCCGTTCATGAGTTTGGCTCGGCTTATTAAGACTCGAGTTTGGTTTGGCTTGTTTGATAAACGAGCCTAGCTCGAGCTACTTAATAGCTTATTTAGTTAATGAGTCGGATTCGGCTCATTAAGGCTCGAGCTCCACTTGTCAATATTGATAAATGAGCTTAAGTTGGAGCTTGATTACTGGCTCGTTAAGGACTCCAGCACTGGCACCATGAGCTCGAAGTTACTCAGCTCGTTAAATTTTCATGTAAACTATAGAAATACTACTAAAATTTCACCACTATCTTATTTAGGAACTCCAAATTATCAATCTCTTCAAATTCCCAAAAGAAAAAACATAACATACACACATTCTACATTGAAAAAGCCTTTGAATTAGATACAACACCTTCACTATTCTCTGTCACAACTTCATCCAATATTCTCCCTGTTATGGCTGCAGCAAGTGCAGCTGTGAAGCTGCGGTTTTTGGTCAACGAAGAAGCCATTTTTTCGACCAAAAGACTCTCGATTTCACTTTTGCCCTTCACTGAAGTTGGATTAATATTTTGGATTTCGTTACGTGTGAAGGGTTCTTTTGAGCCGAGACTCGTTGTGGAACCTAAGCATTCGACCGGAATTTGACCGGTCGAAACTCCGACTGCTTCTGGTGGTGGCGCGACTGAGAAATCGACTCGGTCGTGGTGGTTGGGGTGGCGGTGGCGGCCTTCGTATATGGCCACTAAGATGGATGGATCATGGAGACTTCTTTGTACCTATAGAGCCAAAAGCAAATTGTGAGAGTACATTTTCGTCATTAAACAATAATTATCCTTTTTAACCATGCAGTAATTTCTTAAAATTATTACCAACACCCCTTCAAGTTTATATGATTATTTGAAAAGATACCAAATGCTTGTGCTTGGATATAAGTTGTGATTGAATTTTCAATCACAACTCACATTTAACCGAAGTCCAACTCTCTTTAATATTATCAATATAATTAAATAATACATCACATCAATTTTAGTTCACTATTCATTCAGTCACATAATTTTAACTACCATCACTTTCAATCACATATTTTCTACTTTTACATCAAATCAATTCTAATCATATTTATTTCAAATTTTGTTTTATTACAAATTCAAAATCCCACTCAAACCTAACATAACCATCTTTTTCAAAATTAATTATGGTTAACAAAAAATCAATCAAAACCAAAATATATATCCAATCAAAAACTTATATGCAAGCAAACCCATAAATTTAATGTAATAACTTGTGAGCTACACATATAGTGAAATAAACTCATTTTGTAAAATGGTGACATGCAACATAGCAAGATGCAACTCAAAATATGAAATTAATTATTATAAAAAATTATTTAACGAAATCAAAGAATGGTAATAATAATTAATTAAAGGCCTTCACCTTTTTCTTGACAGGGCAATTTGGTGCAAAAGAACACTTGTAATAAGCTCTAGGAGATGGATTATCCCTTGTGACCTTTTGTCCATATTTTCTCCATTGATATCCATCCTTCACTACCTACACGAGTCACAAATTTCCACCAAAATTGAATTTTGTTTCATCACATTAGAAATAAACAAATAAGTAAAAAATAAAAAATTACATCTATTTACACTTACCAAGCTAGTATCTGACGGGTCGTCCATCCTAACATGAACTTTCTTTACGTTCGATTTCATCACTTTCGACGAACAATAATCATCGCAACAACAATTAACCAAATTATTATAATTTCCAATATTGTAATTTGCGGTACTTTCGTACTCGTCGGTCTTCCTTTTCTTCATCGTCTCGTGTATAGTTAGGTCATCGTCGTAATTTCTGCTCAAGATTTTTAGCATGTCAGTCAATTTCTTGTTCTTGGATTTCATTAGGTCCAACTCATGGATCAGCTCATCATGATAGGACTGCAAATTGGTTCATAATTAGTTAATGAATTAGGAACTTAAGATGTAATTAACTAACTAATAATAATTAATGTGGTAAAATAATAAATAAATAAATAAATAAATAAAGTTAAGTACCTTGGTTTCAGTAGGGTTTTGCATGGGGTTAGTGTTGAGATCAATCGTGAAATTCGTTGATGGGTCTCTTGAAATTCTTTCCATTTTCCACACTTGTGCAGATATAAAGTTGTTTTGTAGTTGGGAAATATTTATAGGCTAAAAATAATATATAATATACATTTATAATTGATGAAAGAATTTTTTTGTTGAGAAGTCAAGAGTCTGGATTTCTACAATGAAGGAAATTTCCATGAAATTATGGTCTTTTGGAGAACGTATGTTATCGTCCATTTGTTTCTATTGCGTTACTTAAGACAAATATATTCTATTTAAATATTATTATTTTCTTACATATAAGTTTCAATTTAATTTTCTTTACTAATTTAGTATAGATATGTGTAAACAATGGCCAAATTTCAGTCTATCAGTTAATGTGCCAACAATACTCAATTTCCAAAAAATAAAGTTTAATTGGGACATAATTTCAGAACACGCGTTATAAATTATTAAGCAAGATATTAATTTAATTCAAGTTAGATGTGAACAATAAGTGGGGCAAATTTATTCCCTTACTAGAAGTGTCACAATTGCTAATATTTAATTCTTACAAGTAACATTTTAGTTTGGACGTTATGGAAAAAAAGGGTTGTGGTTTATTCAAGTCAATTGTGTAAACTATTGGCAATTTGTAACTTACCTTGAAGTTGGCTCCAAATAAACTAAGTGGAAAAAATTGCAGTATTAGTCTAACATTTAATTTCTAGCGAGTTATCTGATTAATATGAGAGCCATATTATTTGATTAAATTCAACATTGGACGATAATACTGAATAAAAGATAATGTCCTGAATTAAAATTCCAAGTACAACTCGTCAGAAAAATATTGGACTAAAATTACAGTTTTATTTAAATGATAAAACCAGATGGTTTTAAAAGAAGTTACTGAAAATAATAAACTGTTTTGAGCAGTGGCGAAACTAGAATCCGAATAAAGGGATGACTGATTTTTACCTTCAAACTATGCTCGAAATTAATTAAAAAGGATAGTCCAGATTTATACCTCCTCTCGAATAGACGAGAAACTAAAAAAATCGAGAAAAATGAAGCCTCGAACGATCGAACTCGTCCTCGACAATTCGCTTATTTTTAATATTTATACATCAACTTCAGGTTCCTCTAAACAAATGCTCGGAGCTCCGAAACACTCAAGAAATGGCTTGAATGGCATCGTGCCAATAAGGTCTGCACGTCCCAACTCGTTTTTCAGCAAACCGAAATCTCACGCGACCTTGCGGGGCGGACGTAAACGGCTTTTTATTTATTTTTCTAATTTGTGCACTCCAACTCGAGCTTCTCAAAATAAATGCTCGGGACCTCGAATTGCAAAATAAACACCACGAACGGCTTCTACTCTTCTCGTACTTTCTAGAAAGCACTTCCATTAAATTTCGGTGCGCCTAACGAGGGCCGACGGGTTCTCGAAGTCGGGACATGAAAATGATGCTTAAATGACCTTGCTGTCATTTTTCTCGCCGGAAAAAGCCCGTCGGAGTGAACTGTCGGGTTCATATACTCTCGAGAGGAAGCTGTGAACATCGGCCGACGGTTGTCACTGCTGCTATAAGTGAACTCACGGCAAAAGGCTGTCGCTACCACCATTCCCGTCCTCCGTTTTGCTGCTCGCAAATTCTCTGGCAGTTTCCGAACAAAACTGCAGTGTCACGCTTTGAAAAATTGAACAGAGCCAGTGGAAGGGCGCCGCCTCCGGCCGGCGACCTCGGCCCCTATACCTATTAAAAAAAAAAAAAATTATGGGAGGGCCGAGGCCACTCCTTGCCTCTATGTGGTTTCGCCCCTGGTTTTGAGCCGTGAATATTTTAATTTTATTAAAAGATTTGCTGCAACGTTATATAATTATGTGGATATATGCATATATACTCTAAATTATATAATAAAATAAGAGATAAAGTATTCCCATCATTGATTTGTTTACAATATTGTTTTATTTTATTGTGGATTAATTATATAATTAATATTTAAAATTTATTAACCTCACTCGACTCGATCCCTTGTGGCTCCGCGCGTAGGCCAATCATTATTTATTGACTTGGGAAAAAATGAGACTTTAGTTGAGTAGTGGATAAGTAATGACGTCATCAAAAAATGGCATCATCATCTAATAACATCTCGATTAAGGAAGCAGGTAAATTACTAAAGTCTAAATATGCATGAATTATGTTTATGGTCGTCTTATTCAATTCTTTCCACAATAGAGATTCTTACAGTACAGTAAATAATTGAGTAAATAACAAAACATTATTTAAAAAAAAAAAAAAAACAAATTTTGTTGAAGACTTGACTTTCCCACGAACTCTTGTAAAATTTGATACATTAATGTGACACATTGGCCCAAAATGTTTAATACATTTAACAATTAACCTAAATTGTGTAATCTCAGTCTACTTCAGGATAATGATGTCCAAATACCAAGTCCATGGTGATATTATGCGTACATATTTTTCAATAAAATTAATGTATAATCAAAAAAATAATATATTAATTTTATATTTTATAATGGTACTTTTGATATATGTGAAGCCCGATATGTACACACTTACACATACCAATATAGAATATAGGTGTGTGTTGATCCAATCATAAAAAACTCGGTGAACAATTTTTGCTCGAAGGATTAGTCACTAGTAATTGTCCACATAATAAACATAAAAAACAAATAAAATGAATAAATAGAAAAGGACTTGAGCGTGTGAAAAATTGTGTACTATTCTAGAATTGTCATAATTTATGGACATAGTGGAAAAGTATACGTTGATGGGGCACTTAATTTGAATTTCCATGCATGTTGAGGCAAAACAGCTTACTTACACAAAACGGCACCAATTTATATGAAGCAGGGAAAAATATTGTAATAGGATAAAGATCATGTTAAACGAAATGAGCCACTCTAAATGTATATTTGCAATTACAAGCATTTTAATTTGAAATGGTGCCATTTATTTGGTAAGAGTTGTTGATGAGGATTCATTTATTACATTCTCTCTTTAATTTGTTATATTAATTTATGTTTAAATTATTCATTTCATAACATATTTATCTTGTCACAATGGCAAATGACTAAATGTACACTCACATGCATACATAGGATTCACCATTTTTAAAAGAAAATTTACACCCACATATTGTGCCTTAGAATCCATGAATGTTCAGTAGAATCTGAAGCTGTTTATCACTGCATGGTTTTCTTACTTACAAAACACCAAGATTTTCGGTTAAGCCGAGCGCCAATTCATCGTCTACTAATGATAGTCAGGTTAATTCCGAACGAACGTTAATTCGACTTTGCTATTGTGATCTTCCCCCTTCTCTCGAGTTCATGAAGCGTCAAAACTGCAGCTGTATCATAAGAACTCTTCTTATCGGCCCTTGCCTCTCCAGTGAGCTCGATTTTCCCAAAATCGGGTATGGTTAAGCTTATTCTCGACTCGAAGCTATTGAAACCCATCGTGTCGCCAAGCTGCATGGGAGTCCTGTGGATGACAGGTTTTCTTTAAGCAGCAATAGAAATCATATATGCATCACAAATGCAAAATACATTTGCATATAATGGAGTTTGTTTCATAATCGTGCAAGACCTAAGGGGTCATTATGCAATTGACTCGTTCATCTCGCATGNNNGAGGCAAAATTGCATTTATAGTCCTGCTGGTTTAACGCCATAGCAATTTTAGTCACAAGATTCCAACGTTTCACCTTTTGGTCTTATGATTTAATATTTTGCTACATTTCCTCAAATTGCAAAAACAAAAAAGAAAAATCACAAATTTATATCTTTGGGATGGATTTTTTTTATTAGCAATTTAAGTCCTATAATTTAAAAATTTTGTTGCAATTTTAGTCGAAATTGCAGCAAATATTAAATAACAAGCCCAAAGGCGAAAAGTTGGAACCCTTGGACTAACATTGCTATACGTTAAACCAACACAACTAAAGATGCATTTTTACACTTTTTTTGGTTGTGTGAATCTTTGTCCAAGTGCTCACCTCGACTTTTGCTCTGTAGTCTCGAAAGTAGGCATTGGCCACTGTTGTTGCTTGCAGAGGGCATAGAGCGCGATTCGTGGTCCTCCTTTCTTCATCTCAATAGGCGGCAAAACTATCGCGTTATAAAAAGAAAAGGGTGTCACAAACTAAGTAAAACAAAACAAATGAAACTAAATGAAACAAAGAAAAAAATTAGGGAGAGCAAAGTTCTTGTAATGAATGAACCCCATCATTAATTACCTGGGATATCAGCATTCTCGATATCACTCGTTACTTTTATCGTCGGCTGCAATTGAAGTTGTTTCTGCTTTTCCATGGCAGATCCACACGATATGTTATTATCAGCCGAGCTTGGGGATAATGGGCCATCCACATTTTCCAACTCTTGCCTCGATTTGGAAGATTTGATTCCTCTCGACTGCAATCACATGTAAATAAAGATTTGGAAAATACGTAAAATAAAGAGTGCATTCATAATTCTAAAACAGAGCCGGTGTTTTGTCGTAATTAAACACCAGAACCGAAAAAAAAATAAAAAAATCATTCTTTGTCATTAGACCAAAATATTAAAAAATAAATAAATAAATAAACAAACCACACCTCTAACTCCTTGAGTAAGTGAATTGCTGCCATTCCCTTTGCGGCTTTGCTATTGGGTCCCGAGCCTTGGCCCTCCAAAAGCACGTCCTCAAGTTGTAATTTTAGAACAGCATGCATGATTTCTCCTCTTGCTATATGCTCCTTGATGAAGTAGCCGAGAGAGTCGCATAATTCAATAAGCTCGCGAGTGGGAGGAAGTTCGAGCTTATCGGGAGTCACAATCGGTGATAAAAGTGGTTTGAAGACTCTCCAGACTTTATCAAGATCGAGTTTTGAGTCGATTAGCACTGCACCTGCTATGCTTTCCACCAAGTCACCAAGTACCTAAACCCCATATATATATGTATATTTAGTATTTTTAATCAATCAACACATACATTGATGTATATAGGCATGAAATATATACCCTTGCATATATTGATGAACAGTACATAATCACACATACATTGATGAACAGTAGTCAAATGCACATATTTGCCCGCTATATGTTCAAATATTTACCATAATGCTATTACATGATTATTAAAGGTTATCTTGATTATGACCACTGATTTGCTAGATCAAAAGGCCTACATTCATTCTTATTTCTTCACTATCATTATTTCTCATAAGATCCTAACTCTCTCTCTATATATATACATATATAACCATGCATATGTTGATGTATACTTATTTTATCTTGATGTATCCATTGGTAAAGTATGACTGGCATATCATCTATGATTAGATTAAAAAAAGCATAAGCTTCTGGCAATTTTCCGAAGAAAAAACTATTCAAGTAAAGGGCAATCAAATTAACGATATTAAGCATAATAGAGATTTTGTGCTCGAAGATGATTACATTTTTTATTGAGTTTTTTTATATTAAGAAAAAAGGAAGAAAGTTGTCTAAGAGCAAATTCTTTAACTCAATATATCATCGATTTTGCAATGCATGCCCTTTGTCTATGATACGAACGGTCCCTTATACTTGTATCATAATTGCTTGATTTACATATAATTCTCCTTTTTGTGGAATGGAAAAAGCAAAAGATGCAAGTTATGCAACCAACAATCAAAAATAAAATGTACAAAGTATTGCTAGTCGAGCTATAAATTGGAAAAAAAAAAAAAATGAAGTACCTTAGGGGCTTTATTATCTGGAGTTAGGACCACGGTACTCATGCGGGACACAGACTCACAAAATGATAATACTTGATCATCGATATGCAATGAGCTGTGCCGAATGTGCGTGTGAAGATTGTAACGTACGGCAGCAAGGGCAAAGTTGTCATTATTAACAGATGCAGAACGCAAGTCAGTCAACATCCCGGGATCGACGTTTTTATTGTTTTCGTAAAGATGACATGTCATAAGCACGTCCAACACGGCATCGCCTAGAAATTCGAGCCGCTGCCATGGATAAAGTTAAGTGCATTAGTTAATAGAAGTTTTGAATTATTATTGCATTTTAATGGCATGATCGATGTAAAGGTTCCTCGAGCAGCGTAACTATCCATGACAGACGAATACTTAACAGAAAATTTACTTTCGTGTTTGGGAAAAAAAATGACAAGAAAGAAAGAAAGAAAGAAAGAAAAACGAGTTTTCTTTCAAAGCTTCGACACAGAATATTATAACAATGTACTGACTTTTGGTTTTGGAATGGGGGTTTTATTTAATCAGGCAGGAGATAATGAGCATTTTTTATTCACCCTACCGTTTTCTGTTTTGCTACACTCTTAACCACCCCTGAGGCTAGGAGTTTATAAAAAGAAAAAAAGAAAAAAACATAGATTCAAAAATCGCCATATGATGTTTGATTCTCTCATTTCCATGAAAAAGTAAGCTTCATTATTTTTCTAAAAGAAATATATGAAAAAACCAAACCTCATTTATTTTTCTGGATTAGCCCAAACATTATAATGCCATAAAAAAAAAATCTAATTTTAATATTTCGGTTCAAACCTCGTACGAGTAGCAAAAACCTTGCTCGCGCTCACTCTCATGTGTTACAGCCTCTATCAGCAACCCTTTTGTCTCAAACTCGTATCCAATCTTCGACTCGAGGGCTCCAATCTCCTGATCTCTAGGCCCATGAGAATACAGTGAGCTAGCACAAACAGCCTTCTTTACCAACGAGTGCTCGGTTTCGATTTCAAACCCGAGCCACCTCATGAAACAAAAGGCGGCACTAAAACCACCGGCCACGTAATATGCACCTATGAGAGCCTCCACACAATCAGACACGGTTTTCGAGGAAATCCAACGGTGGCCCATATCGCAAGGCTTCCCGAGCATAAGTTTTATATCGTCACTCCAAAATTTGCTGTCGTTTAGAGGGACCTCAGCAGTTTCCACTCCATGTTTGCATGGGGATGACCATATCGAGCGCTGACCTGGCGCTGTCCAACGGCGGGAATCAAACGGGACATCCCGTACATAATCCTAAGACAAACAAAAAAATNAAAAAAAAAAATATATGTTAAAAGAGAAGAAAAATTTACGAATTTCTAGCTTGAGGTTTAGCCTTAGGATATGTTTGATATAGCTGATAAGCTAGCTTATAGTGATTTTCGAGCTTATAACTTATGACTTATAGCTAAAAAAAAGCTAGCTTATATAATAGTGTTTGGTAAAATTAACTTATCAATAAAAATTTCAACAAGCTTATTTGAAAAGCTATTCAAGGAAGCTAATAAGATGAGCTCGAGCTTTTTAAAAAAGCTCGTCCTACCAAACGAAGCTTACTTGAGTACGGAAAGCTTATAAGCTAATTAAATAAGCTATAAGCGAGCTTATTTGATTACCAAACATACCCTAATAGCCTAATTAGAGATAGCTCCAGGAAGACATAGCTTCAGGAACATGAAATGAAGAGAGAGTTGGTAAGTAGAAGAAACGATTTTTTGTTTTATTTTATTTTTTTTTTTTTTTATAAAAATATTACAGGCTATATGAGATAAGGGTATTCAATATTGGCACCTGCAATTTACGATCTGTTCCCAATTTGTGGAGAGTCGAGTTGCAAATGATTCNGAAGAGCAAAAACGAAAAGGTACACCACATAGAAATACATTACCAAGGAGCTTGTTATAGTGATATTGCCAGCTTGGCGTGATATTTCCTCCCTAAGCTGGCTGGCGAGCATTAGAGACTCCAGCCGATGCATCAGAGAAGGTAGCAAATAATATGGCTTTAAAATATCTGTTCGGATATTGATAGAAACTAGAAGTTCCGGTGGCATATGAGCATGTTGTTGTGGCTTCCTCTCGGTAACTTTTTTGCCACCTTTCGTCTTGTTTTTCGACAGGGGACCTGATAGTTTTTTTAGAAGCTACTCTCAGAACACAGCCAGCCTGAATAATTTAAGAGTAATATGCAATTTTAGTCCTATATGTTTTACTACCTTCAACATTTTCGTCCTCTTCGAATTGATTTTAGTTTTTTTGTCACTGATGTTTGCAAAATGGTTACAAAAAGTTCCCCGAGCATACACATGGGACGAAATTGCAACCTTTTTTGCAAAACATAAGGGACCTTTTTGTTGCGGAAAGGACTTTTTTATAACCATTCTGCAAACATAAGGGACGAAAATCCAAAAAGCAATTCGAATAGGACGAAAAAGTTAGGTTAGTGAAACATACAGGACTAAAATTGCAATTTACTCATAATTTTAAATAATTGATCGGAAGATATTACATGCCCTCCATACAAAAATTATGAACACAAGCAAAACACACTGGGATGTTCGGTAAACCACTTCAATGAACGGAAAAGGAACGGGCGAAGTTAGAGAAAAAATTAGAGGTCACAAACGAGCCCTCGATCTTGTCCATTGCAAATGGAGCTGGAAGAGTCATTGTTGACAATTCTCATGGCATAGCGCTAATAATGGACTAGATCAAAATGGCTCAATTAAATTCTAGTGCTTCTTCATTAGTGAAGTTTTTAGAAAAAAAAAAATATATCAAACGGCGTAATGCACCTTGGGTCGCTACGGAAACAGCCTCCTTGTATAATTACAAGGGTAAGGTCTGCGTACAACTGACCCCCCAGACCCCAACCTATTGGGAGTATACTGGGTATGTTGTTGTAATTGTAATAAAAACGAGCCCTCGATCGTGGGTCCAAAGAGCTCGAAAGAAATATTGCAGAACTAATCTACCTTGAAACACAAACTAACTAACCTTCATTTTGAAAGTCCACAAGAAGATTATGTGAGCTATGGCTTTGCTTTAGAAGAACTAACGGCTGCTCTGGGTACTTGAGGACAATGCCGTACCTGGAAATAAATCATAATATATAATGGAAATAGAAAAAGGGTGAAAAAAAAAAAAAGAAAAGAAAAAAAAGTCAAGTCCTCGAAGCCTCACTTCTTGTTGTAATAATCAGCATATGATGAATACTCCAGATCAACATCTCCTTCAAACGGGCTTCTAGAAGACGTATTATCAACAGTATTCAGAATAGAATAAATTCTTCCAGTATGAATGGCTACAACCACCATTTCCTTGAGGCCATCGGCTGTAGCAGATGTGTTCGCCAAGTGAATAACATCACAATCTGAATCATTCACGACTAAGTCAGTTATATTAACCGATGAATCAGGATCATCGTTCGTTTTGGGCTGTTTAAAATCCAGTAGAGCATTTTTAGTCAAAAACTCCACAGCTGAAACACATGACTCGATTCCAGTCCAATTGATCTGCGATGGTTGTCCACCAGTGGCATTTTCGTCATCAAGCGGTAAGAGTAAATACATGTTTGACGGGTCCCACAACGATTCCTCTGTTTGAAGTAAAAATTTTCTTTCTCCCGATGATTTGACGAACAATTTCCCAAACAAACCGTTAAACATCAGTTCTTGAAAGCATTTTGCGTTCTCCATCTGTTAGAAAAAGAATTCGCCAGGAGGAGTATTAGAAGGAGATAATTATCAAAAGGGAAAAAGAAAAGAAAAAAAAAAGAGTGCTACTCCCTTTGCAAATCATTTCTTTTAGCAGACCCAACTGAGGGTGTAGTTTGTTCAATATTATAATTCTAAATAGTTTGATCATTCTAGACCACTAAAACTAAGCAAATGATCGGTTTTAACATATGAATATACCTGTTGAGGATTCAGGTACACTTGGCCAACTGAAGAAACATTAGCTTTAACAGATTTTGATAGCAAGTAAAGATCCACTTCAAGATTCCCTACATCATCATCTAGCTTCATCTCCAGTAAAAGTACAAAACTCGAATATCTTTGCTCAGCAATACTACAACAAAAGTCCATTTTGTATGCATGAAATTTGGCATAATTAGGTTTGCCTCCCCAAGTTCCAGACAAATTACGGACGGTAACAGAGCCATGCAATTCCTTCCTCTTTGTTGTTCCTAAAAGGCATCACAAAAATCATAAATGATAATAAAGAAGAAATATTCAATCATGGAATGCCATCTCATCAAATTTATTTTCTCGAGCAAATGTACACGTGGGTTTATATTTAAAAAATGAAGAAAAAAAATTTAAAATATTATATTTGGTGGGAATTGCTATATGCAAGTTTTTAGTGGGAATTTATATTTGGTTAATTTTAGTAGTAAATATTATGTGATAAATAAGTTAAAAAATATTGTTGCAATTTGTTCATAAAAAAGTAACGGTTAGTTTTCATAATTTAATGAAAAAAGTGGGAAAATATCATTAATTTTTTTTCCCTCTCTCTCTCTATATATAGATAAATAAATATAAAAAGATAATGATATAAGTTGTAACATCTTTTGGAGGCATAGTAAACATTTTTATTAATTGTTTTGCTAGCAATTATATGTGTGTGTATATATATATATATTGAAAAAAAAAAAAAAAAAAAAAAAAAAANAATTTCTAGGTTTAAGATTAGTTTTCCTACTGTGGTTTGGTGAAAGATCTCTCAGTTACTTCCAAGGATGTGAAACATGCTCAGCACTCGGAAAAACAGAAAAAGAGAGACACAAGAAAATAAAATAAAATTACAACTATACCTGCCCCTGAATTTGATGATTTTTCATTTGAAGCACAGTCCTTGTATGAAGACAAATCATAGCAAGGAACCAGATGATCATCAAGGGCTCCCATCATGTGCAACTTCTTGCACGCTTCCAAGCAAGCCAGCTGTTTAGACAAATCGAATTTACGAGCCAAAGGACCGATTGCAGTTTCAAAAGCCGCATTAGGAGGTAGAATCAGTTTACATCTATACAAGTTCCCATCCATCAAGGACTCGAATTTCGGCTCCTGAATAAGAGCACTGCATAGAAAAAGCATACTGTTTAAGCTGGTTATGAACTTTCCATTTAATGAGAGAAACAGAGAAGGAAAATATTTTACTCTTCTGCAGAGAGATTTTTGCAATATTTGTGTATGAGGATTATGCTTGAATCTGGCGTAATTGATGCCCCAGTTGACTTTACAACATATTGGAATGTTTCATTTGTAGTGCAAGTTTTTTTTGCTTGACAATCATCAGTGTCTTTATCCTTGGCTGTACATGTCATTGGATTTTCGTTCCTGGTCATGTGGGAGACTTGTTCTATTTGCTTTTTGTTTCCTCTANCAGAGCAGAGGATAGGGAGAAAAAAGAAAAAGAAAAAGAAAAAGAAAAAGACAAAAAAGCAAGTAGTTTTTAATGTTTACAAAGGTCAGCTTTCACATTTTACTCAAATTTAATTTTTTTTTTTTAGGTTTATTAGAATGTAAAAGCTTCCAGGGTGACATTTTTTAACAAATAAGCACTTGTGCAAATAGTTTCACTCTCACCAAGCAAATGTCTTTGAAATAAATTCAACTTCTAAATTCTATTTGCAAGAACTGCCATGTTTGATTCCATCTAATTTTAGCTTTTGTTAAGATGAATAGCTTCTAAAAGTTGCACGCCACTCCCAAATTTTGTGTGTGTAGTTGATAAGACACTTCAAATTACAAGGAAATGGGTATGAAAATGCTTTCACCTCTCAAGCATGATGATGTACTGAGAATCCTTCTCACGAGCTAATCCCCTCGATTGAACATAACTACCAACAGTTTTTGGCAAATCAAAGCAAATTACTGAGGAAAATTTACCCACATGACTTCCCTCCTCGATAATGTCAGTAGAGAATAAAAGATTGACCTAAAATCGGCAATTTTCTCAAACAGTCAAAAGAGCTGGAAAGGANTAAAAAAAAAAAAAAAAAAAAAATAGAAAAAAAAAGAAAAAAACTATTACATATTCGAGGCACCGTAAAATTAATACCTTCTGTGCTTTTGATGGAAGTTCAGTTGAAAAGTTCCTCCCCGTCAAATATGATATATTTAAATCGGAAAAATCGGCAATTTTCTTCACCACTCTTTCAATTACTTTAGCAGCTATTATTTTTTCAAAAAGTACTATATAAAGGGCCTCCTGGTCTTTCCTGCACCCAACATGTAACAATGTGAAAAAAAATAAAATTGCTAACAGAACAAATAAATGCTGGAAAGTATATCGGAATTTCTGCTTGTATAACTATGGAGTAGATTTATGAACTTACCCAAATGATCTAATCAGTTCAAGTAGTTCGAGCAGTTTGGAAGATATTTGGCCAGAAGATAGTGTGTCGCCACTCATAAGACATGAAAGCTTCTTATACTCTGAAAATACAAAATGAGTAACAATAATTTTGGCTCGTTAAAAGTTACATTTATTTTGGCCTCTTAAAAAGAGGAAACTTTCAACAAAACAACCTATTAGAGATAACTTCCTTGTAAGATAAAATCAAATAGACTTACCGTGAGAACCTTCGATTATTAACAGAGCCTCCTGAAGAAATTTTTCATATTCCACAAGACTTTCCTTATAAACCTCACATTCTTCTTGAACTGCTGGCGCAGTTTCCATGCAGACTTTGACAGCCTACAACAGAACATAGTGGGATATAAATTGAATAGATATCA